TTAGCTGCACAATATTATCTTGGAGGGGCTGCTAAGATGTGCAAAACACAGCCTGGCTAAATACACCCTCTTGAATGTCCCTTCATTCGTCCCAGGTATGTGCTCGGTCTCCCTCCATTTCAACACCTCCCCTCCATGGCATGACTAAAATCAGCAACTCCATGTCAGCAACTTCTTGCAGGAACCTGTGATCCTACTGTAGAATGTGGAACAACGCCACTGACCTCTTGAGCTTTCTTTGTAAAGCCTGTACTGATATGCATAAATTGTTACCTAGGGTAAAGCTAGTGTTTTTTACGGTGTGCCTGGGGTTGATATAATTGCCAACAGAGTAGGTTTTTTTTACAATTGATCACTACCCTGAAATTTAATCTTTGATATGTTTCAGAATTTAATTTTAAAAATAATCCAAGTCACGGGCTGCCAAGAACCTAGAAAGCTTATTAAACAACTGAGCAAGGATCCACAGCTGACATTGCAGCTCACCTGCTTAACATCAACTTGCTAAAAGGTTTCCAAGAGCAACTGTAACTATAATCTCCATTTACACGACCTATCTGAACTTCACTTTGGAGATCACTCAACCAGAGCCAGTTTGCCAACTCTGAGCTTTGCGGTGTGGACTTATGAGGCTTGAGGGGGGGATGTGAAGGGGATTGCATAGCAGTAAAATTGGTGGATCAGGATAAACTGGATGTGTGGGGCAAATACTCGAAGTAATCATCAATCTCACAGTCATATCAAATCACTTGTGGCAGGTGCAGTGCAGTTAATAATCATCACATACACTGCAGAGGTGGAATCCTTCGGATGGGAGCCAAGGTCCTGTCTGCGTGTTCAAGTAAACTTTAAAGATCCCCTAACACTACTCGAAAACAGAAGGGAGTTTCACCTGGTGTACTGGGCTAGCCACCCATCTCCCAGTATTGGTCATTCACTTCATGGTTGTTTATGGGATATGACTACGTGCAAATTGGCTACTGTGTTCATCTACAATTACATGTCATTATGCCCTGCAGTAATTCCTTTGAAGTTCTTTGACACATCTCAACGAAATAAGACAGATGATGCATCAAATGCTAGGATTATTGTGAATGATACCAGCACAAACATATTGGCCTCCTCCTGCATTGTAAACTTTCTACACTTCAATCATTATAAATGGATACTCTAAACGTTGTGGTTTAATATCATTCAAAAGAACGTTTGTCTTGAAGAATGAGTCACTGGGGAGAGAAAAAAATACAGAGGGAGTGGCATCATCTCACACCCCTCCTAGCTGCCAACTCAGTGGGGCATTTGCAGAAACCTGCAAGCAGCTGTATGATGACCAAGTGGGTGAGAAGTAAATAGAGAGACCCTGAGGGAGAAAAGTATTGAATTAATAATAATAATAATAATCCTTGCATTTGATATAGCGCTTTTCACATCTTCTAGACATCCCAAAGCACTTCACAGAATATACTGTAAAGTGAATTGACTGTATATTTGTGGGCGAACGCGGCAGCCTATTGCGCACAGCAATGTCCCACAAACAGTCGTAGATTGAAAATGATCAATTTATTATTGTTTTTGGTTTTGGAGGGATTATTATTAGGTTCTGTGTGGAGTAAGGAAACTTGCCCAAGGTTTCGCCCTGTCTGGAATTGAACTCAGGTCTCTCGCTTGCAAAGCGAGTGCTCTAACCACTGAGCTACAAGACTCCAATTGTGAGTGAGTTGCATTGCTTTCTTTCAATCTTTCAATCTTTCAATCCAAATTACCATGTCAAAGTGAAATACTGTTATCGATAATGCTTGCCTTCTCATATTAAAAAAAGAACCTGATAGGGTAGGAAGGGGGTAGTACCAAATTGAAAATATAATGAAAATACATTAAACTAACATGTTGTGTCACATTAGATCTGTGCCTGGATAGCAACAGAGACTAATAATAAACAGCCAATCTAGTCTGCAGCCCTTTGAAAATCTTACTTGGAAGGTTGGGAGTGAGAATATTTGCATGTAACTGCAGAATATAAAGCAAGTGTATGTAAATGTCTGCCTATTAGACGGGTTAACTCTTCTTTACTCCTGTGCGGAGAACATCTGGGTGTCAGCTCATTCTACTAATCCTGTAAAGGCACAATTGGGGTGCGTATTAATAAATTTGTAATTACATTGCTCGCTTTTTTTATGGGGGATTGCTTTCATCCACGTTTTCTCACTGATAGCAATTTCCAATGGGAATAGCATTGTGGCAGTGTGTCAATGCAGAGATGATAAAAGACAGCAAGTCAGAAACTAATCTTGCAATTAGCCCATGTGCCCCTGGGAGTTTTCAACCAAGACTAACTTTAGGATTATCAATAATAGTGTGCACCATTTCACAGCTTCAAGAGGCATTGAAGCAATCCTTTTGTCTTCTTCTTTTGATGCTTTTTATACTAGTAGCTCTGGCTCAGCTCAAAAAGGCCTCCTCTTTTTTCCCAGTGCTACCTGAAGCTATCAATGTGTATTGTTAGTGAAGTCTTAACGGACAGTTTAATGAGGTTATAATTAACCTTTGACACCAGCCATTTCAGCACTGTTTACTTTTGAAAACATGAACCACATTAGAATCATCCCCAACTTATTAATTTTAACGTCCCTGGCAACAGGTGATGCAGGAGGAGAGTGGGGGTGGGGGAGGGGGGAAGAGGGAGTGGAAGTGGGAGAGGGAGGGGAGGCTGTAAAAGCATTTGAAAATGAGGATAAGAATCTTGATTTTGAGGAGATGAAGTGAAGGTTCTTGGAACAGGTAAGAATGGAAGCAGGAAAAGACAAAGCAATGGAGGTGCAACAGGAGAGACTGTGGACATGGTTAACACTATCAAAGACAACAGAAATCAGGAGGTCAAGGTGGCATATGGAGAGAATGCGCTTCGTGACTTTGACTGGGCAACTTGATGCTGTGGATAAGGCAAAAGTCAGATTGGATGGACAATTCAGCTTCATCTTGAAACTCATGGAAACTACATCAGTATTAAATTTGTGACACAAAACGTCACCAAGTGGAAAGGAATGTTACGCACACACACACGCACACACAGAAATTACATTTGTATAGCGGCTTTCAAGTCGGGAGAATGTCCCACACAGACAGACACGCACAGACATTACTAGAAAACAAAATTTAAAATGTCACATATGAATAACTGCATGAAGTACCATCTCAGGGCAGTGCAGGAGTGTTTGCGGATATGTCTCTGTGGGTGGGGTGGGGTGGTGGTAAATGCACGTGGGTGGATTAATAATCATTATTTTAAAGAAAAGATAGAAAATGTACCGCATATTGAGAAACAGATTTTCCAATTAATACACCCCATGCCTGATCCCAGGCGTATTTCCTAGTCAAGCAGCAATTTTCACCCAAACTGTGTGACTCATTATGAAAACGCTTGTTTGAATGTTCAGTGTAAAAATGGCAAATGAAAACATGATAGCTATTCTAAGCGACAGAACAAAACACACACACATCTAAAATGTGCTAGTATGTTGTGGGATGTAACTTGTGCATTGAGTAATGAGAATCTGGTAATGAGACTGACCAACAAGCTGTCAGGCTTCAGCAGTTCCTTACAAGTTACACTGCGCCAGTCTATCAGAGAAGACAGCTCAGAGAGGTCAACCAAAGAGTAATTTTATGTAACTTTTTTAAACAGATAATAAAGCTGTCTGTTTGAACAGAAAATATTGATTTAGAAATTCCTGCTGCTTTCTTTTAAATTTTATCCTGCGAAAATGCTATTCCAGTTGAGCAAGTAGGCAAGGCAAGGAATCGCTCACTGAGTCATCTACATTGCATTTGATTCATAACGTACTATACTTCGAACTACCAACTTGTAATACAAAGACGGTATCACTTAAAATAAACCAGTATCTAAAATAGTACAATACGATTTACATTTATACAGCGCCTATCATATCTCAAAGTGCTTGGCATTCTTGACTGGGCACCCGAGCTCAGGGTGGCAGTCAGAGGGGGTGGGCAGCAAAATGATGATCAGCAGCAGCACAGTCAAAGAGGTAGATATTGAGATGTGGTACTGAAACATTATGCCAGCAATAAGAGCAGCCTATCCTGCAGTCACTAAAATAGAGATAATAACTCATACACTTAATATAGCTCCTTAACCCCACATCTGCACCATGACCCGCTCTGCCTTTCCCCACCTCCGGAACCTCATCCGGCTCCGACACTGTCTCCGTGGGCCACCTAAACCCTCATACATGCTTTCATTACGTCAAGGCTCGACTACGCAAACTCCCTGCTTGTTGGCCTCCCCAACTCCTCCTTCCATAGGCTGCAGATCATCCAGAACTCTGCAGCTTGCTTCCCCTCTAGCACTAGGCTCTGCGACCCTATCACCCCCATCCTCGCCCAACTCCACTGGCTTCCCATCACACAGAGGAAACCGTTCAAGATCCTGGTCCTCACCTTCAAAGCTCTCCACGGTCTTGCTCCCCCCACCTCTCCGATCTCCTAACCCCCTACCACCCTGTTCACTCCCTCTGCTCAGCAGGCTCTGGCCTGCTTCATGTCGCCCACCTTGCTCACCCCACTATTGGCGAGCGGGCCTTCCGTCACTCTGCAGCCGCCTCTGGAAATCTATCTCCCTCGCCACCTTCAAGACCCACCTCAATACCCTCCTCTTTGACTGTGCTTTCGATCTCCCTGCTTCCCCCGCCCTCCACTCTCCCCACCCCAACCCCCAGCTCAAATCCGTAAATCTGTCTGCCCAACGCCTTGGGACGTCCTTCTGACGTGAAAGGCGCTATACAAATGTCATTTTGTTGTTGTTGTTGTTAACATGTTGAAGTTTTATTGTTGTAGTAGATTGCATGTATGTGTAGGCAAATACAGCAACTGGTTTGTGAACAGCAATCTTGAGGTGAACAACCAATAACCTGAGGGATTGCAAGCCAGGACTAAAATTCCTTTCTCTTTTTTAATGGTGTCTTTAACATTCACCTGAACAGGCAGACAACTCGTCATGGGGCTTGAACCCACAACCTTTTGAACCAAAGTAAGAATGCTACCAACTGAGCCACGTTGACACTTGCATGGCAATGGTCAATTTTTGAAGCCAGCTTCAGACTTGTCAGCAATGATTATCAGGGATCTAACCCCTTCAACATCATTTATAACTTGTCGATTCTTGCAGACAGAGAAGATCAGAGAAACCAGGAATAGGTGAGGTTTACGTTCATATTTCAAGGACTGGACTACTTTTCAAACAACAAACACAACAACAAAATGTATATGATAACCATTACGGTGGATTGCGTCTCGAAGCATTTAATCTATCTGCTTTTAAATATATGAATGGATTTTGAGGCAGTACACTTCACATTCTCACAACCCTCTGTGTGAAGCAATGTTCTCTGATTTCAGGATTTCCTTGGTCTGTTCAAGGGAATTTGTTTACCTACTAATCTATCACAGGAGCTCCTATTTCATATCTAATGGGCCTCTTTAACACTACATTTTGGCACACAATAACCCTCGTTTATAAATCATTCATATCTAATGATCTCAGACAAATTGTTTACAGTTCCTTTTAAAACCTTTTTTTTATATATTGGAACACCAGGTCTACAGTACGTTACTATATATTTCTGTGCAACTCCTAAAGATAACGCTGTGTTTACAAAGCATACAACTTTAGGTAACTCTCCAGAAAAAAACAGAACTGAAGCTGTATCTCAGCGATTAGAAGATTAAATGTTTTCCGCTCTATTTTCCTTTCTATTATTTCGTATTAACTTTCTCGTGTGTACTGCAGACACCTGNTTTTTTTCAACATCTTCAGGAACTAGATGCCAATATTCACTCTAAAACCATCAAAGCAACCACAAATGACCCAAGTCTCGCTGTTGCACTCTTAGGACCCCATTACTTTCCACTGAAGCTGTCAAGCACCTGCAGTGCACCAGAACTGCTGATCAGCAATCCTTTTGTGTCTCTCCTTGCAAGCACACTATTATGCATACTCATACAGTCCAGATGGCCACTATCTTCCTCATGGGACACCAAGAAAAAAGTTGCATGCAGCACTGATGAATGAGCAGAGCTGACAAATCCTAACCTCTTGGAGTTTATAAGTTAATCCTCTGACAGAGGAGTTTTGAAATAAAAGCCTGAAGGCACTTAACCAAGAGCGAGATAAAGTACGGGAAAAATAAGTCATATTTAAAAACAGAACAAATGTATAATTGGTGTGCAGCCCAAACCACAAAACATTCTGTCTGTGTGGGGAGGGAGGTGTGTATGTGGGATGGAGTGGGGGGTAGTAACGAACAATGACGGTTACTTTTAACTGGAGCCAATTCTGATTAGTTTTTCACAACACAAACCAAGTTTCGTTCCACCACATTTAAGCAAACACAGTATGTCAGCGTTTCTAGAGAACTATATAAAAAAACAAGTTGTTTCATCTGTCAAACCCTGGTAACCAAAAATAAATTATCTTCACTTGCTATCTTTTCACCTGTTGACTCTTCCCCCTCCTCTTCCTCTAAAAATCAAAGGTGAAAACCTCAACCAAAAATTCTTTCAAATGTAATGTCCAACTTTGTATGTGGGCTGTTTCAACTTTTTTTTCTCTCTGTTTACTGTTTTACCACTTCAGTGGAAATTACCGCCCCTTTTGCAGCAGAAGCGAGACACTTTCCTCTGAATTACTCCATTGCAAACATCTAAATAGTTTGAAACAATAATCATTGTATTTGGTTCATTATTATTCACTATTATTTATTGATAAATATAATAATCATAATGCTTGCATTTCATATAGTGGTTTTTACATCGGGGTCATGTCTCAAACAGCTTCACAGGACACATAAAGTACGTATGTGAATGCCTGCAAAATACCAATATCACTTGATATCCATTTAAAAGTCATCAGGGAAAATTATTAAGTGTGATTTCCAATTCATGGATCTTTATTAATTTATGTAAATTACTTTAACAATGGACATACACAGAATAAGGCTCTTTCAATGTAACAGAGAGAGTGGATCACAATATTTTTCAGCACATTCTGCACATCATGACTTGCCGACTCTGAAAGATTTTTCTGTTCAGACCCATTCTCTTGCCTTTTGCTCATACCCTTTTATATTTTTCCTTTTCAGATATGTCTATAATTCTGTTTTAAGAAGTAAAACAGCAAAACCCTGGTGATCCACACACCAACGCACATGCGTTTATTGAACTCCGATGAGTAAGTGAATATAGAGATGCCAGATACTGGCCGAAAAACTAAATTGAGTTGTGTGCGTGTGCTGAGATGCACAATGTCTAATAACCTCATGTGCACACATGCAACACATTTTTCATGGTAGCATGAATGTGTTTCTACAGTGTAGAATTACAGTTAAAGAGAAAGGTAGAGACAAGTATGGTGTAAGTCGTAGAGAGAAAGAGAGGGGGAGAATAGTTTGACTTACACTGTAAATCATACAGAGTCAATTGCAAAAATATAGGCAAAGTGTAAATAAGAGAACGGCTGACACAATGTTGTACTATAGTGACAGTAAACTCCTGATGGAGCAACAAGAATTATTCCATCGGGTGTTTACTGTCAATATAGTACAACACTGTACAACAACAAACAAGAGGGGTGGAGGGCAAGGGGTTGGGAGTGGGAAGGTGACCGAAGGCATGGTCGAAGAGGAAGGTTTTGAGATGGGCCTTGAAGAAGGCAAGGGAGGAGGCGAGTCAAAGGGATTCCGGGATGGATTTTCAGAGGGTGGGGGCAGAAAGTCTGAAGGTCTGACCACCGATAGTTGAGCAGGCAGGGCCTACTTCATGTCCCCTCTCCCTGCCTGCCCGCCAACAGCAGTCGGGCCTTCAGCCTTTCACTTGAAATCCAATTCGGCCGAAACGACTGCAGAAAGCTCATGAATCAGATCTGTGTCTTTCCAGCTCGAAACTCAAATGTGTGAAGCCAGAAGAGTGGTGTAAGACTTTTTACTTCACACAATGACAGACTCAGCAGCTGGGACATCCAAGGAAGAGGGGAAAAGAAACAAAATTAGATAAATGCCCTAAAATATAATTTTACAATTTCCTTATCTCCCACCCCCAATCGTCTCCGCACTCGTAAAAACAGAGGTGTTGAAATCTTTAGACCCCCACTATATTGATTCAATTGCTTCTCCCATTGAAAGGAACGAAGGTGGAACACCACAAGATCAGCATGATAGGTCAGCGCCTTGGGACATCCTCCCAACGTGAAAGACGCTCTATAAATCGAATCTTGTTGTTGTTGTTGTAGGTTACCAGACTAAATGTGAAAAGCGAAACAATCCAAATCTCCCCATCCTGCACCTCCACAAGTCGTGAATGGCGCCCTTTTTAATAAGTCTGGCCTTTGGGCAGCTAAATGCTGTATTTTATCAAAGTGCCACTGAACTTCGTGAAAAACATTATTTAGTAATTTATGGAAAACAGAAAAAAAGCTTTTTTAAAAAACTATATATAATTTAGATATACTGTATACTGGAGTCCTGTAGCTCAGTGGTTAGAGCATTCGCCTCACAAGCGAGAGACCTGGGTTTGAGTCCCAGTAGGGCGAAATATCTTTTCACCTGTTTTTTCTTTCACCTGAGAAAGTTTCCTTACTCCACAGGCCTTTGTTTATTTAGCAGAAATTAGGAACCCAGTTATTACTCGATTGGCAGATCGCTTTTCCGGGGGGTAATAATTCCTTTAAAAAAATTGGTCACTCAATCTATGACTGTTTGTGGGACACTGCTGTGTGCAATTGCCTGCCATGTTTCACCCACAAAATCTAGTCAATTCACTTTACAGTAGATTCTGTGAAGCATTTGGAGACATCTCAAAGATGTGATAAGGCGCTATATCAAATGCAAGGATTATTATTATCAATTTAGAAATACACACATACACAACGTACACTGTACAGAAAGGATGAATATATTTGCAAATTATGTTTTCTCGCCAAACAATAAGCACTTTATCTTCCCGCACCCTCACCTCCCAATGCTTTTGTGGCAATACAAATAGAAGCAAATAAGCAGCACACTCAATAATAATAATAAAAATATTCCTTGCATTTGATATAGCACTTTCTACGTCTTCTAGACATCTTAAAGCGCTTCACAGAATATGCTGTAAAGTGTATTGACCGTATATTTGTGGGCGAAACGCGGCAGCCAATTGCGCACAGCAGTGTCCCACAAACAGTCGTGGATTGAAAATGACCAATTTATTATTGTTTTCTTTTTGGAGGGATTATTATCAGGCGTGTGGAGTAAGGAAACTTGCCCAAGGTTTCGCCCTGCCTGGAATTGAACTCAGGTCTCTCGCTTACAAGGCAAGTGCTCTAACCACTGAGCATCGGGACTCCACGTCCAATAGAAGCGAAATAATAATAATCCTTGCATTTAACATAGTGCCTTACCTCATCTTCAAGACATCTCAAAGCACTTCACAGAATAGACTGTAATGTGAATTAATTGTATATCTGCATTTATACAGTGTCTTTCACTTAGGATAGTATGTCGGAATGTTAAACACTGTGGAGAACATGGCAGCAAAATAATGTCCTTCATAAATCAAGAAATCAAAATAAAATGAAGAAATTCCTCAAGGTTTCCACAAAAATATAGTTACCATTGTCAACCAATGTGTTTATTTATCCTTAACAATAATGTTATTGCTTAGAATAAAGAATTTCATTTTATTTAAAAACATGAAAATCCTCATGAGTAAAATCTTTAAATATTTTCACTTTTTTTTTCAAAAGGAAGCATTTCCTTCCCCCTCTTTAAGAGCTCCCTGTGACACACACTGTTCCACAGCCAAGTGGGTCACCAACCAGCTCCCAGCCATGCTCATGTCTGACTTCCAGGGTTGAGCTCATAAACAGAATGAGGATTAATATCTGGCAGAAGGCAGGCAGTGTCGAGAATGCAACAAGAAACAAAAACGTGAATGCTTGATCACAGCAAAACATGAAACAAAAAAGTGGTCTGGGTCAATGGTTCAAAACCTTTTGGGGCTCAGGACCCATTTGTAAACCTTAATGGCCTGTCGTGACCCAGTAAATTGTTATAGTGCAAAAAACATCTGGCTTACTACAATGATATACAATATACACATTAACGTAATAAGTACTGAATACAGCAACTCTTAAAATATAGTATTTGTTCTATAAATACTCGGTTCCACTTAATGAGAAACATGAACTTGTTGCTCTTTGATGAGTTTATCAAAGTTTGGTAAAAAACAATCCCCACTATGACTGCTACTTGCAACAGGACCATTTAAAATTGTCGCAATTTCCCTGACAAGAAGACCTTCTTCACTGGGTGCAAGATTACAGTAAAATCATGAATGTTGCATTTGATTATCTAATCACTGGCACCGCAATGCTGTTTAAATAACTTCATTACAGAGCTTCTACCTCAAGAACTGCAGGTTCTAAATTCTCGAAGTTCTACAACAACTACTACACTGATCATATTAATTCAATGAATGGCCTTTGTAATTATCGGCTGGCCGATACAAGTCTGTAATCACTGGTTGTTGTGGAACATCGAGGATTTAGAATCTGTGTTTTTTGCAGTAGAAGCTCAGTAGTTTCGCCCACAAAAATACAGTCGATTCACTTTACAGTATATTCTGTGAAGCGCTTTGAGACGTCTAAATGACATGATAAGGCGCTATATCAAATGCCAGGATTATTATTATCATGCACAGTGTTAATATGCGATGTCGCACTAGTGGCGTTCATGTATTTTTTTAAAAAACTCCCGAATACAGAAATGTTCTAAACCTGTTAGATCTGTTTGCGATGCTTTGACAGGTTCTGACGACCCAACTTTGGGTCCCAAGTCACGGGTTGAGAAACCCTGGTCTTGGTAACGAAGCAGCAAGAAATGGTAATTCTCTGGCACCATCTCGTGGCGGATTACAGAGCAGCACTGACAGTTCAGTGCTCAGTCCTGCCCTCTTGACACAAGGCAAGGAAACCTGGAAAAAACAATGGGAGAAACATTCCATAAATGTATACCTTGGTGCTGATGTCTATTCAAAGATCAAAACTATTTGATCTCAATTCTGAAATATAATAATAATCCTTGCATTTGCTATAATGCTTTTCACGTCAGGAGGACAGCTCAAAAGTGCCTCACAGGATATATTGTAAAACGCAGTGACTGTGTATTTTGTAGGCAAACATATCAGCCAAATTTCCACAATGTGTGTACTGTAATTGCAGCCATTAATATGTATTACAAACAATTTGAGTAAAAATGTTTTGGACACAATGTGAATTTTATAGGTTTTACATCTTTAAGCCAAACATTTGTAGATTAAGGGAGCTATTCTGGATCTTAGTGACTACTTTCCTTCTGTGATTGTGGCGTTGTGTGTCTGCCACACCACTCTGAGTAAGGCATGTTTCAACAGGTTTAGTCACACTAAGAAAAACAACTTTCAATAATGTAATGAAAACACTGCCATCAACGGGTGGGTAATATTATTGCAGTAATACCCAGATCAGGATTGAAAGACGCAATAATAATATAATATTCCTTGCAATTGACATAACATCGTTACATATCAAAGTAGCTGAAAGTGCTGGTAATAGTAATTACTGTTAAATGTGGTGACTGTGTTCTTTCGGTAAATGCAGCAGCCAATTTGTGCACAGTAATGTCCCACAAACAGCCATGAATTGAATGACTGATTTTAGTTGGGAGAATATTGGCTAGGATAAAGTTTCTGGTATTGGAACGTCAACCAAAGTCCCAACGTGTGGCTTGAATCCACACCCTTCTGACCCAGAGGTGAGAGCCCTACCAACTGAGCCAGGCTGACACAATACAATCTACATGCTTGAAAGAAATCATTTCAACCACAAATGGAGAAGAACAATATTTAACTTACAGCTTACTTTTGGTCAATGCTGTGATTCGATTTTGGTGCGTACTAGTCTTACAGTATTATTTACTTTAATATAAGAACACAAAACTACAAGTTTTGACTGTCTCTATTCTCATGGACAATACATTGCATTTTTCATCATCTTCCAAACACAATCTCCATCAGAAATTGATCTAATCTTAGAAAATGCAGCAAGCTATCCTACAGGAGTCCTGTAGCTCATTCGTTAGAGCACTCACCTCACAAGCAAGAGACCTGGGTTCAATTCCCGGCAGGGCGAAACCTTGGGCAAGTTTCCTTACTCCATACGCCGGATAATAATCCCTCAAGAAAAAAAAATCAATAATAATTTGGTCATTCAATCCACGACTATTTGTGGGACACTGCTGTGCGCAATTGGCTGCCGCGTTCCGCCCACAAGTATACAGACAAATATACAGTTAATTCACTTTACAGTATATTCTGTGAAGCGCTTTGAGACGTCTAGAAGACGTGAAAAGCGCTATATCAAATGCAAGGATTATTATTATTATACCATGATCACTCCTCATACAGAGGAACCTCATGATAACGTTGCCTTTGGGTCCAATAACCCAGAGACCTTTTGGTCAACAGGTTATATGCAAAACGTGAAAAAATGACCGACTTGTGAGTCAACAGGTCACATCTGGCATCAATTCCTACATGTTGTGCATATATGTGCATTTGTGTGCAGCTAGGGCTGCTGATGTTGCTTCGTGTGTGTTACATGCAAAAAGCACTGCTGGTGTCACTTATTTCATAAAATGATGTAAATACTGATTCATGTGCATTACATGAATGCACAGCACAGAGAAAGTAATGGTGGTGCTTCCTGTGCATAGCAAATGGGGGTCACGTTGGTGACAATCTGATAAACTGGAACTGTTTTTTGCATGGGAAACCAACTAGAGAGTGCAGCAGCCAAGTGGACCTTGCTTCCATTAGCATTGGCTCACAGGACAACAGCATTATGAGCAAGGCAGCGGTAAGCTTGATGTGTTAGAATGGGATTCTCCTATACTAAACTTGGCTTCTTTTTATAGTCAGCTTTGCTAGCTTTTCTCATAAAAGAGGTTGGAGTGAAATAGACTTTTTGTCCCAGTTGATCTCATCCTTTCAGAATATTAATCCTACTTCATGCCATTACAACAAGCTGTTCCTTAAATGAGTCTTGGCATCTAAACCCTTTCAATTAACCCATTCCAGCTGTTGATTGTTAACGCTAATATTTTGGGGGTAAATGTGTGTATTAGTTTGTAACCAAAGTGCAGTGTAAATTTAAAAAAGGAATCAAAAAGGAATGATAAACTAGTAAATAAGGATAATAAATATTAAAGATGTTTGTCTCGACAGAGGGGGCGGGGGGAAGGGTAGATAGCACAAAGGAAAAGAACTTTGAATTAACTGTAAATCGGGAAAAATAAACAATATTTTACAATGTTTATTGATGATGATAATAATAGATATAGCACCTTAATATGTCAAAAAGACATCCATTTCAAAGCGCTTCAAAGCATATACTGTAATATATTTGCATTCATCATGCCAAGGCTAATTGACAACGACTTCCTAACTCTTCCCTTAACAAAGCTACAGACTGTGCAGAACTCTACAGCTCGCGTTCTCTCCGCACTAAGCTCCATGACCTGACCACCCCATCCTCACCTAGCGTCACTAGCTTCTCATCCCACAGAGGAATAAGTTCAGGATCCTCATCGTCACTTTTAAATCCCCCCATGGCCTTGCCCTACCTTATCTGTGCAATCTTCTTAAACCCTACCAACCCACACGCCCTCTCTGCTTGACAGGCACTGGCCTGTTCCATTTCCCCTGCCCTGCCTGCCCCACCATCGAAAGTCAGGTTTGCAGTCTTTCTGCCGCAAGCTCTGCAACACCATCGCGGAGGCCCTTTGTCTCACCCCTTCCCTCGCCTCCTTCAAGATCTCAAGACCTTCCTATTCGACCTTACCTTCGGTCATCTTCCCACCCCGTTCCCCTCCCAAATCCAACTCCCAGCTCAGGTGCAAACCCTCGACTGTCCAGCACCTTGGAGTTCAGCATGATCTGTAGCTTTGTGAAGTGAAGAGTTAGGAAGTCTGGCGAGCAGAGGGTCATCATCTAGGCTTGATGTGATGAATGCAATTGCATTACCTTCAAGGCCCTCCACAGTCTTGCTCCCCTTATCTCTCCAACCTCATAATCCCATATCAGCCTGTCTGCTCCCACCGCTGGGCGTACACCGGCCTGCTTCAGGTCCCCTGCCCCACCATTGGTGGTCAGGCATTCAGCATCTCTGCTCCCATACTCTGGAACTCTATCCCACAATCCCTCCACCTCACCCCCTCTCTTGCCTCCTTCAAGTCCCATCTGAAGATTCTCCTCTACGATCATGCCTTCGGCCACCCTCCCAACCCCTCTGCCCCTGCCCTCTCCCCTTCTGACCCCAACTCCCAGCTTCGGTCCAAAATCCCTGATTGTCCAGAGCCCTGGGACGTCTTTCCAACATGAAGGACACTATACAAGTGTAATTTATTGTTGTTGTTACAGTATATGCTTTGAAGCCCTTTGAGACCGATGTCTTTCGACATATTAAGAAACATAAAAGGCACTATATAAATGCAATTTGTTGTTGTAATTTGGATTAATTGTATACTTTGTGGGTAAAAAAGCAGGAAGTAACATAGCAGAGCTAAGCCATTTTTGATTTTAGTTTAAAAACACACATTTTTGTCCAACTGTAAGCCTGCGAATAAAAACGATTGAATAGATTTTTCA